AAAAAAATTTCAACATCCATTCATAATAAACACACTTAGCAAGGTAGGAATAGAAGAGAACTTCTTTAATGTGAAAAAGAATACCTACCAAAAAAGAAAAGATAAGAAAACAACCTACAATAACCACCCTGCTCATTAGCAAAATACTAAAAACTTTCCCCCTAAGAGAAGGAAGAAGACAAGGATATCAACTATCACTACTTTTATTCAATATTGTACTGAACGTCCTAACGAGTGCAACAAGCCAAGAAAAAGAAATAAAAGGCATAAATATTAGAAAGAAAAAAAGGAAACTGAGATTTTTTCATAGATGATATGGTTGTATAGATAAAAAATCCAAATGAATCTACAAACTATTAGAATCAATAATGAATTTAACAAAGTTGCTATATACAAGATCAATATATAAAAATGAGTTATATTTCTATATATTATCAACAAACAATTAGAAAACAAAATTTTTAAAAGATAGTTCACTAGTCATCAGAGAAATTCCAGTTAAAACCACAATGCATTACTACCACGTGCCCTCTAAAATGGCTTAAAAAATTTTTTTTAATTGCAAAATAGTAATGGCAAGGATATAGAACAACAAGAACCCTTAATAAGATATTGGTGAAAGGTAAATTTATACAACCACCTGGAAAACTATGGAGATGAACATATATAGCATTCGGACCCAGCGATTGCACTCCTCAGTATATACCCAACATAAATGCACACATATATTCAGCATAAGACATGTATTAGCATGTTCATAGCCACATTATTTTATAATACCCAGAACCTGAATACCCAAATGTCCATCAATTGGAAAATGGATAAACAAATTGTTTATCTATAAAACGTAAAAAAGTGAATTTCTGATACATATGACAACATGGATGAATTTCAAAATTATGTTAAGCAGACAATCCAGACACAAAAAATACATGCATATGATTCCATTTATATAAAGTACAAAAACAGGCAACAAAATGGATGGTTCTCCTAAATACAATGTGGCACAAAAGACAGGCACAAAAAAGTATAGACAGATGATTCCATTTTTATAATATATTAGAAAAGGCAAAGCTAATCTATGCTATTTGAAATTAGGACAACAATTACCTTTTGGGAAATGATAGTTATTAGAAAGGAGCACAAGGCAGTTTCTGGGATGCTAGTAATGTTCTGTCTCTTGGTTAGATGAAAATGTATTGAACTGCACACAAGATATGTGCATATTAATGTATGTGTATTATACTTCAATGAAAATGTATTTTTAAAAAGCAAAAGAATATACATGCATATAAACCAATAATAAACTTTTGGCAAAAACACATACAATTCAAAGATACAGAAATGAAAGTACCCTCTCAGTAACAGGGGATAGAAATAAAGGATCCCTTTTGCGTTCCCATGCCTGGATCAGGCCAGTTACACACAGGGCAGCTCTGAATCAGAGTTAGCCTCTAGACTGTGGGATGGGGAGAGAGGTAGCCCCAGCCCATATTTGTGGGCCCAGGAAAAATGTTCAAATAGAGGCCCACATACCATATATCTAAAAAATTAAAAGTTACAAACCAAGCTAACAAACTGTTGAATAAAATTTTGTATGCTCTATCTGCCTACCCTGACATATCACACACATACATATATATACAACCTTCATAATGATCAGGAATGCCAGGCTCAAATTTAGAATCCTCAGACTCTCCCAGGCCCCTGGCCCAATCCCTGTCTCTTCCCAACCCAGCTAAGTCCCGCACTGCAAAAAAAACCTCACAACTGCATGGGTGTACACCCCAGGACTTCTAAATTCCATCCAAACCCCAACAACCAGCCATTCCTTAGGCCTACAAGTGCATACCAGAAGCACAAGCTTCCCTGGCAGAATGTCCCTGAGGAAGAGGCCCACACAGGTCATGGAGGCAGGCTGGGGCCTGTGGGCAGGGTATTACAGAGACCCAGGCACTAGAAGAGTGGGTGCATAGGCTCTGAGTGAACACATTCCCTTGGCACGATGCACTCACTGCCTCATAGGAAGGACACAGCCAATGGGGACCAGAGTAAAGGTCAGCTTAAGGGCCTATTCTGCCAAGTTTAAGGGCAATACTAGAGACAAGACTGCCCTATTCTCCACCCACCCAACCCCACCAAAAGAGCTGATACTTGCCCTACACTTTACAGTTTACGAAGCACCTTCACATACAATATTTTTAATGAATCCTCACAACTTTGTAATAGTGTAACATACTTCCATTTGAGAGATGAGAAAACTGAGCTAAAAGTGACTTGCCTGAAGTCACACACACAAAAAATGAGCACCCCTCGGTCTCCAGTGGAGGAGCCTTCTCTCCAATTTCAAAGGTCACACTCTTTCCACTACTCAACATGGCCATGGATCCCCCAGCTCTCTAAAGAACTGATGGGCTAAAAAGGAATTGAAAATTGTAAATACATAGTTGAAATATTTTGGAAAAAGACCAGAGTCAGAGAAGGAAATTTAACACCAAATACAGAGCAGTTTCTGGGAAAAAAAACTTGGGCCTGGAGCAAAAATCATCACTGGGACAAAGACTACTATGTAGTGGTAGCAATCCTAGCTGGGTCCTGGGGGCTCCATTCCCACTCTCCAAACCACAAAATGAGGGCCTACAACACATTTAAGCAATCCCCACCCAAATTCCACACCAATTACATGGGGGGGTCTGGCTCCACAGCCCTCCTTCTCTCCACCACCCCGCTGAAAATACTTTATTAATGAGAAGGCAACTTAAAGCCACAGGACACCATCTGCTCAGACACAATCCAGAGAGAGAGCAGCCTGGCACCACCCCAGGTGAAGCCTGACCCTCCTCCAGCAAGGACCCACTAATGCCATGCCTCCCTCTAATTACCAGGGTGTCTAGCTCAGGACCTGGGCAGTTATTTAGAGAACATCGCCTGCTCCTAGCACAGATATCCATGACACAGCAGGCACTGTCTGCTCAAAGCCAGCTGCCTGAACCTGCCATCTCCTCACTCCACTATCCGGGGATCCCTCCTGCCGCCTCTGCACCTCAAGTTCAGCAGCATCATGTCTCTTGCAAATGCAGCTGCGGAGTACATGCTCTCCGATGCCCTGCTGCCTGACCGCAGGGGTCCCCGCCTCAAAGGCCTGCGCCTGGAACTGCCCCTGGACCGGATGGTCAAGTTTGTAGCTGTGGGCTCCCCGTTGTTGCTGATGTCTTTGGCATTCGCCCAGGAGTTCTCCTCTGGTAAGTTGCTTCGAAAGCCCAATGTGTAAGAGAGATTCCACTTCATATCGGGCTCTGCAAGGACTTGGGAGGTGAGACAGCACCCATGGTGACCAGGTTTCATGACTTTGGGCTGGGCTGGATAACCCAAAAGGTAGACAATGCATGAGCAAAGCAGAGGCACCAGAAAGTTTTAAAAGTCATCTCCAAAATGTTACAATAAAAAAATTAGTTGTAATTTTAGTATTCATATATATTTTATGTCATTTCAATACTTAAACTTCTAGTTTGGTTTTCATATGGATGAGAGAGGTTGGAGTCCCATAATCTTTTCAGGACCTCAGACCTCTCCATCCTAGCCGTGCTGTGAAGAAGTCTCTTACTTCCTCTGCGCCCTCTTCCTATGCCCCATCTCCAGGGTTACTGATCTGAGAACACATGTTAACTGTCTGATGGAGCTTGGCACATTAGGGGAGCTGGATAAGCTCACTGCATCCTCTCCACAAACCCCAGCCACACACAGACATGAACATACACATGGATCTAGTGCTTCAGGTGCTGGATTAACTCAGCAAATCCGCTGCCTCTATTAAAGAGAACGTGGACTTCCCCAGACTTCTGGCTTTCTTTTCTGGCTGTGCCATGAACTTACTACATCTCCTGTTGAAGGATGCCAACCTCCCACTGCCTCTTTGTCTGCCTCTTTCTGGAAAATAATGAGAAAACAAAAAGCCAGAGACTCTCCTCCAAACCCATTTTCCTTTTGGTACTACTTGCCCACCTTTTCTCTTGATTTGGGCTAAGAAATCCAGGCAAATCCTTCACATTTTAGAGTCTAAAAGGTGTCAGCTCTCTCAGGAAGGAGACGTCACCATCGAACTGCAAGGCTTCTGGTGCCAGGCTGTGGGAGCACAGGGAGCCCCCACTGCCCACCAATCTGGGAGTCTAGGGGACTCTGACAGAACAGAACCACCAGACCTAAAAGGCTGAGTCAGTCACTGGTAGGCCTGGGCCAAAGAGCGGAGTGCTGTCTAGCCATGCCCAACCCAGAAAACTGGGGCATGGGAAGAAGATAGTGCCTGCCAGACACAGAAATCAGTAAGGAGTTGTGAAGGTGACCCCTAGAAAACTGTTAGATGAGTGTCCCCAGTGTTCCCATTCATCCACTCTAGCTCAGGGCTGCCTCAAAGCTGTATTCCTGTTCCAGGGTCTCCGATCAGCTGCTTCTCTCCCAGCAACTTCAGCGTCCGGCAGGCTGCCTACGTGGACAGCTCCTGCTGGGACTCACTGGTCCACCATGAGCAGGATGAGCCTGGCCAGTACAAGATGAAATCTCTCTGGCCCCACAAGGTAAAGCAGCCAGACGTATCAGGCTAGCTCCATGGAAGAGTGGAGGGGACAGAACTGCATCCGTCTATTCCCTGTTGACTCTTACCCCCAACCCCACCCCACTTATGTTGGTCACTGACTTTCATGTTTCAGGCATTCTTCAAATGTCTGGTGATCTTTGGTTGCCCAACTTTGTCTGATTGGAAGGTTTATGCTCATGGGTGAGGCATGTAGACAGGGAGGCTTCATTTTAAGGTGATCCTTTGATCTATTTCATTGGGTAAACCTCAAATATCAGTATCTATAGTCCTTTCTCTTGGGCCAGTTGGTTTTCTCCAAGAAGAGTCATTCAATCCTTAATTTGTGGGGAAAGGAAGGGTGCAGTTGGAATTAAATCTGGCTGCCCACCATCTGGGGAGCTCGGCTGTGGGTCTCACCGTTCAGTGTTCATTCAACTGTTCCTGCCATTCTCAGTATGGTTCCCCTGCCTCAGTGGGCCCAAGTGCAGAGTTTAAACTGGTTTAATCTCTCCCCAGAGAGCAACCTCAAGGCTCTGTAAAGGGAGGGAAACAGTAGCTGCTTGAATGCCTCACGTTACAGAAAGGATCTGTGGGTCTGTTTCTCATACAGATTTTTCAAACAATTCTCCTGTTTTCAGCCCCACCTACACTCTCATTTTCAGAGGTACCTGGTGTCTCTATTTCCTGGGGCTTTCTGGTTCTGTGGTGCAAAACAGCATGCTTGCCCCTCCAGCAGCTTCCCGCCTTCCCTGCAGGCTGCTATCTTCCATAATGCGACCATTTTCCAGTTTTCAGCATTTTGGTCTCTTGTCTCCTCTCCTGTTCTCTTTGTCCTTAAAGATTACATCTTTTTTAATCCTTTACTGTTATCTTAGTGGGATTTTATGACAGATTAGTGGCAACATATATATTCAATTCACAAAGTCATATAGCATTTTCTAGGCATGACAATTTATAAGGCCTCAAATTGCCAGTTCTAGGATCCAGGCAAAACCAGAGACGGAAGGAAAGAGTTCATGAGGTTTCTGTCACTGGAATCTCAAGCAGGATTTAAATAATAACAAGTTCTATCACAGAGAGGATTGACATATCAGAAAAGGGTCAAATTGTCTGATAATCAAGATCTTTAAACCCAAATTCTCTGCCTCCACTCCAAATCTACAGAAACAGAATCTCTATGGGTACAGTGTTCATTTGTAAGGAATGTCATTTCTTAGACAGGAGTGAAAAGTTCTAATTTTCTCTCGTGGCCTCATGGTTAGGCACCTTTCCTAACATAATCTTATCTTTTTGAGTTCAGAAAACATACCCCTTTCTCCTCTACCCAAGTGCAATCAGATATGTATCCTCTCTCTTTTTCTTCAAACTCTCTAAAATTAGCATCCCTGGTTCAGGAGAAGCTATAAGTCAAGTAGTCATTAAGGGAGTACGCTCAAAAAATCACCCTGGCTCTCCCACCTACTAATGTGCAACCCTGCACAGGTTACTTCATCTTTTCATGCTTCAGTCTACTTATCTGTAAAATACAGATACTAATTCTACTGGCCTGATAGCCTCCTCGGAAAGATCAAATAAATCATGCATAATAAGCACCTAACAAAAATGTAGCTTCAAAAAGCCTTTAAGAGTAGAGATTCTACTGTGGGCAAAATAGAAGGCCCAACCCTGTGAGGTGTGGTAAGTATGATGAGGAAACCTAAGTAAAAGTTCCTATATTAGTGCACAAGGGCTGCCATAACAAAGTACCACAAACTGGGTGGCTCAGTCAACAGAAATGTATTGTCTCACAGTTCTGGAGGCCAGAAGTCCAAGATCAAGGTGTCATCAGTGTTGGGTCCCCTGAGGGCTGTGAGGGAAGGACCCGCCAGGTCTCTCTCCTCGGCTCATAGACAGAACACCCTGGGCAATCTTCCTGTATTCATGTCTCCTCTTCACCTGACTTTTTATTCTTTTAAGAACACCAGTCATAATGGATTAGGGGCCATCCTATTTCAGTAGGACCGCATTTGAAATCAACTAATTACATCTGCTACAATCCTATTTCCAAATAAGGTTTCATTCTGAGGCACTAAGGATTAGGACTTCAACTTATTAAAAAGTGGGGAACAGGGACACAATTCAACCCACGGCAGTCCCTTATCTCAGATGTAGCTAATAATATAGCTGAAGAGACAAGGTTTATGCATTCTTAAAAGTCAGTTTATATATCTACATACCTGAAAGAGCTCCCCCAGAGAATTCCAAGATAATGTCTGATGGTGCAGGCATTACCAAGAATCCAAAAATCAGAAAGGACCACTGTGCATCCGAGAAGTCCAGGAAGGCCACATGGAGAAAATGGGATTTTCGGTCCCCTAGGATGCCATGGCCACTGTTGGCTGTGATCTCTGGCTACCTACTCAGACTAACACATTTGGAAAGGGAAGGTAGGGAGAGCCTGCCTCTCTCCCTCTCTCTCTCTCTCTCTCTCTCTTTCTCTTTTTCTCTCTCTGCCCCGGGGGCCTGAGACAGATGCTGGGTCAGATAAGTGGACCTGGGGAGCATGAAGATACACATTCCTTCTCTACCAGGCTGCCCTGTACTCAGCCAGGGGAGTGGAGAGCCTCAGGTCCTGGCCTGTGGTAGCCCACTGCCCACACTACCTTCTCTTCTGAGGCAGGAACTGGGGAAAGGGTAGCCCCTCACTCAGCTGTCACTCAGGTCCCGGCAGCCCGGCCGCCCTCCTCAGCTGCTCTCGCCCCACAGGCACTCCCCTACTCCCTGCTGGCCTTGGCCATGGTCATGTACCTGCCAGTTCTGCTGTGGCAGTATGCAGCCGTGCCAGCCCTCAGCTCAGATCTGCTGTTCATCATCAGTGAACTGGACAAATCCTATAACCGCTCCATCCGCCTGGTGCAACACATGTTGAAGATCCAGCAGAAGAGCTCCGACCCCCATGTGTTTTGGGATGAGCTGGAGAAGTGAGTTGTCTCTTTCACCTTTTCCTGAAAAACTGAAAAACAAAGAACTAAAAATTAGGGCTAGTCAAGCATTAAAATGATGTCTTTGTATGGCAATCTTTAAATTATCTTCTGTGCCATCCTTCTCAAGAGTACAAAGTATTTACACATCACCTCCTTAACTTTCTATCATTTCTGTAAAGAGAAAGGACTCTGCCTCTAGTGTACAGATGACTACACTGAGCCCACAAAGGTATTCGTCTCTCTAAAGCACCACTTTCGTACACTATTCTACACTATTCCCCTCAGAAACCTCAATAGCTCCCCCCATGCTTACCAAAAAATACCCAAATTCTCCTAAATATTTGTCCAAGGCCCTCAGCATAATGTCACCAACTACTTTTTCAAACCTCTAACTAGCAGGTAACAGAAACCTTCCACTCTACCTAGGCAGTCTCCTTCCTTTCCCCTTAGCAAATCATTTATTTATTTAATCATTCCTACATCTGCACACTGGGCACTGCTCTGGGTGCTTCTGCTAAATTAGTGTGTGCTGTGAGGTGTGGGCAAGGATAGACACAGCTATACCTGCCCATGTGGGGCTTACATCCTGCTGAGAAAAACAGACAACAAATTATCGGAACACTTTGTAAAACATATGTCCAGAGATAAGTGATATGAAGAAAACAAAAAGTAAAGTGGGGGGCGGGGGGGTCTGGAAAGCTGGAGGGATGAAGAGAGGTATTGTTTTAAACAGAGTGGCCAGGCTAAGTCCTTCAAGAGGACAAGAGGACAGCTGAGCTAAGATTTGAAATCATATTGTCTTATGTTCACGCATATACTCTATCATCTGAAAAAAGTTCCTCTCTACCTTTTGAAGCCAGCTTTAAGCCAATATTCTTCATAAAGGTCTCTGAATACTCTAGCCCACACTGTTAGCTCCCTCTCCTAACTTTTGCAACTACTATGGTTTGTGTCCATCATTTTGGCAACAAATCAAGTGCTATTTTTATTTCATATTTGCATGTCTTATCTGCCCCTTCCCCAGAAGCCATACTCTAAGGTTCTTTGAGTCTAAGCAGAGACTGGCTTACATGTACCTGAACACCACAGCTCTCAACAAGTATTAGTACTAGTGACCACATTTATTTGTATAAAATGAACTGGCCTAAAAATCACAGAGTACACAGGCCAAGAATGAGAATGCATCTGTTTAGACTCCCAGTCCAGTGCTAATTTCATAAGCCTATTGCTTCCTAAGCATCCTACTTCAACCTAGAGCTTTAGTTTGCCTTGCTGGCCACAAATCCAGTGTGACTACTCATTACTCACTGACCATTCACTGGGTTTATCACATTGCACTCAACACTTGGAGAATCAAGATATACTCACACATCCGTTTTGGGTATGAAGTGTGGTTATGTTCAGGGAAGGCAGATTTTCATGTTAGCCAAGAATGCCATGTTGGAAACATAGATCTTCTGTTACTTTCCCACATAGCTCTCTTGGGGTACGGTTCTAAATGGCCTTCCTAACCATGCCTCCTGTCTTCCCCTGCCAGGGCTCGGAAAGAACGGTACTTTGAATTCCCTTTGCTAGAGCGGTACCTGGCATGTAAGCAGCGCTCACATTCACTAGTGGCTACCTACCTCCTGAGGAACTCCCTCTTGCTCCTCTTCACCTCAGCCACCTACCTGTACCTTGGCCACTTCCATCTGGATGTCTTCTTCCAAGAAGAATTCAGCTGCTCCATCAAGACAAAGCTGCTAAGCGATGAGACCCATGTCCCTGATCTGATCACATGTAGGCTGACCTCCCTGTCTGTTTTTCAGATTGTTAGCCTCTCCAGTGTGGCAATATACACCCTTCTGGTTCCAGTGATAGTCTACAACCTCACACGGCTATGTCAGTGGGACAAACGACTCCTATCCGTCTATGAGATGCTTCCAGCTTTTGATCTCCTCAGCAGAAAGATGCTGGGATGCCCCATCAATGACCTCAATGTGATCCTTCTTTTTCTCCGAGCTAACATCTCTGAGCTCATCTCTTTTAGCTGGCTGAGTGTCTTATGTGTGTTGAAGGACACAACCAGCCAGAAGCACAACATTGACACAGTGGTCGATTTCATGACTTTACTGGCTGGCTTAGAACCCTCAAAACCTAAACACCTCACCCATCAGGTATGTGGTGAACACCCATAGTTAAGAAACCATGGAGCAAGAAATTCTGTGAAAAAAAAGTCTCTCCGCTTCCTCACAAGCCACAACTACTAAAACAACAACAACAAAAAAATACACACTTTAGAACTGCTAAGCTTGGATTCAGCTGAATCATCTATCCTATATCATGTTATCCTAAAGGTGAGAAGCTGTAATAAAGACATGGAAGTAAAATGTTAAAGCTGGAGCTGAAGAGCCAAAGAACTAAAAATTAGGCCTAGAGCATTCTATGAGGATAGGATAAACAAACAAATAAATAGAAATAAAGTCTAGACATTCTACAACGAAAGAAGACTCTAAAGGCTATTTATTAAGGCACATTCTTCTCACTACATTCATTCCATCACCCTCTAGGATATACACTCAGCTTACCCCAAAGAGCAAGTGAGGCAATCTGTTAAGAGATTAATAAAGATGTGGAACTCCTGGAAACCTTTTGGTGTCACCTGAAATCCCAGGAATTTGCCTGGCTTGCTTTGTGGAAGTCATCATCCTTGCCGAGGCTCCCTGTGGGCAGGAAAGTGAGCCAGAAGTTAATGAAGGCTTCAATTTGTAATCTGATCTTAGAGTTTAAGGACATAGTAGAACAAGGCCAGGGCCATGCCTCAGCCATGAGTGAAGCCCTGGGGTGTCCAGACCATTTTTCATCATCTAAACCAGGGATTCATTTCACCAAGGGCTGGGATTACGCCTTGCGGACTCCTTCACAACTCTTAATGGGCCCAGGTATGCTTTTAATAGCCCAGGGGTTACTATACCTTCTCTTAGAGCTAATCACTGAATAGCAACCACTTAGAACTAAACAGGATAGACAGTAAAGTACTACTGAATCCTCTTCCCTAATTCATCTGCCATCTTAGCTCCTAACTCCCATTCCTGCACCTGGATTTAATGGAACCTTGATCCGACTCCAAAGGCCATGCTCAGCCACAATACCATGTTTTCTCTCATTTTGTATTTCTTTTTAGGGATGCACATTATGTATTTCTTCAGAGAATTTTTGCATAGGCCATTTAGATTCTTCTTATATAGGTAAATGGAACAGTTATGTTGCTTCTGACAAATTGAGATAAGTTTACTTAAAACAAGGGAAGAGCTGATATACAGACACTCATCAATGATTTCCTATTGTCACTAGATAAAAGTCCAACTCTTCAGTGGTACACAAGACCTTTCATGATCCAAACCTACCTACTTCAGTCTCTCCTCTTGCTTTTCTCTCAACACACCTTTCACTCTGATCAAATACTTGCAGTTCCCATGCTTCTCACAATGGGGAGCCTTTGAATATGCTGTGTCCACTGCCCAGAACGCCTGCCTTTGTTCTTCACTAGGCCAACCACTCCCTCTCCACCAGTCTGACCAGGCAAATCTCCTTTAAGAAACCTTCCCTATCTCCCCCCTCCTTCCCTAACTGGGTGCTACCATCTCAAACAAAACCTACCTCTGAAATAAACTTTTTATACCATTTTAATATTGCCAATTTACTTGTCTTTACTCTTAAATTAAGGCTATATCATTATAGCCACTAAATAGTCTTCTGAGTTGCTCAGTAGAATCACCTTTGAAGCACACACACCCAGCCTCTAAAGAGTCCCATATGGAAAGAGCTTTGTACACAAAGATACACTTCACAGCAATTGGCCAAAAAGTCAAACAACATAGAAATAATTATGCAAAGTAGAATACAGCCATAACTAGACTATTAACCAGACATTTAAAATTATGCTTCTAAAGAAGTCAAAATAACACTGTGAAATGACTATAATGGTAAGTTATTAAAAGGAAACATTATATTCTATATGCTTTAACCCATATAAAATGAAAATATTAAATACATATATTAATACTTACATGTTAAAAGTGGTTCACTCCAAGTGGCAGCATTATGGATTTTTGAAAATCTTCCTTGCGCTATATATTCTACATTTCTAAAAAATTTGCATGAAATGTTTTATAATTGTAAGGAAATGTGTCTAATGAAAAAGAAATGATAAGCATTTTTATGTAAATTCCATTGAAGTCCACTGGCCAGAACAATCTGCAAACTAAGACAAAAGGTTGCACTTTCCTTCTCACTAGATACATGTATATGAAGACGAATAATACAAATGAAGTCAGAACCCCAAGCTTGCAAGGACAAGATACAGCTAAATAGCAAATAAGTCAGGCAATTAGCAAATAAGGTTTTTTTAAAAAGAAGAATAAAAAGAAAGTCTCTTCCTATCACAGGAACTACTTTCAGGTTCCAAGGTAAAGTGTCAATGTATATTATCAAAGGCATGAGTGTGAGTATTCTGTGATCTGGAAATAATCCTGGAGGTTTCCAAAGCTGAATCTTTATGACTGCCTTAAGAATGTTTGTGAAAGTACACTGGCACCCTGAGAAGCTGCTCTATTAAAACCCAGCCAGGTCCAACAAGGGCAGCTTACAGCATGGACAATCATAAAAGGACTTCCATAAGCTTTCATTCTGTGTTAAAAATCATTTCCTCCCCTCCCCCCACAGACACACCAAGACCCTGTCACTGTTTCTACAATTTTCAGAAATGAAGTACGTGGGTCATCAATTCTAAACCTATCACTTTTGAATTCTGATTACAAGTTACTTCAGTGTTAGAATCTTTCTCTCCAGTAATTCAATGAATTTATTGTTTTAATTAGGTAACATATTTTCCAGAATTTCCGTATATATCTCTAAAAGTCTACATTTTGACTATATTAACAGTAATTATGTATCAGTAGAGAACAGTTTAGAAATTCAGTCACCTCCATGATTCTAAAGAGTATACTCAGTTTTGAGAGAAAAAACAACTAGATGCTCAAGGGTACTGCCGGAAGAATGAAAGCCTTCCACCATCTAGCGCCGGGGCATTTACCAAATCTGCACCCTAAAGATTTGCCTCGCTTCCTTATTTGGTGATTTTAGGTAGACCTTGGTTATAAAGTTAGAACTATATAAATATAGGCATATGTACAGAAATACACTTTCGGTTTCATCAGGCAAACATTTACTTAGTGCTAGTATTTTATGAAAACTGTGTGTTAAATCTCCCATCTTCCCTACTAGATTCTAAGCTGAGAGGGCCAAGGCCTTTTTTCCTATTCACTATTGTGGTCCCAGCTCCTAGGAAGAGTATAACATAACAGACCCTGAAGAAATATTTATGCGAGCTGCATAAAGGAAGGACGCAAGGGAAGAAGCCCAGTCAAGTGCGTCCTACTATCCGGGAAGGCCTGTCTGTACGAAGTGTGAAAAACGGGTGTTGAAACGCTGTGGCCTGTGGGCAGCGTGAACCAGAGCTCACGTTGGTAAAATTGTTGTTCGTTCCTGCCTTATTTCAACAATAGTACTCCTCAGCTAAACAAAAAGATGCGCAAGTCACGGATCGTCGTTTCCGGCAGCCGCCCTCCCTCCTCTCCTCGACCCGCGCTCGCCCCTCTCTCTCTTCCCCTTTCGCGGGCCTAAGATCCGCAAGGTCAAGGCCGCAGCCCCGGAAGTTACACGAGGCCGGCGCCGTTGCGTAACTTCCGGGCAGGGCTTACTTCCGAGACAGACGCGGAAGTGTTGGGAGGCGCCGGCAGCCGATTCGGTTGCAAGATTTCTGGCCCTGCCGTCCGCTCTGGGAACGTCCTGTGGAGCTAACGACTTAGAGGCCCGATTCCGCCAGCCCCGAACACACTAAGCCAGCGCTCCTGCCCGGTCCTTGGTGTAGGGACCGATGCCGGCCGCGTCCTGGAGCCCCCGTAGCGGGGCTGGACCATGAGCCTGCTGGGCGGCCTCACCCCCTCGCCGCGGGCCCCGCTGCAGTCCAGCCGGGCCAGGATGAAAAAGCTCCCGAAGAAGAGCCAGAACGAGAAGTACCGGCTGAAGTACCTGCGGCTGCGCAAAGCGGCCAAAGCCACGGTGTTTGTGAGTCTGACGGTCTCTCAGCCCGTCTCCTCGAGACTCCTTCTTTGCGAAATCTTTCCCCAAGTTGTTCCTTCCCAGAGTGACAGTATAATAGAGTGTTAGTTTTTCAGTATGTATTACTACTCGTTAGCCTTATATCCTTGGACAAATTACATAATTTCTCTAATCCTGTTTCCTCATCTGTAAATGAGAGCTAGTAACTATTTTGCAGTTATGAAGATTAAATGAGAAAAGTAAAGTGTTTCGTACCTAGAAGATGTGTCAATAAATTTTAGTCATCATTATTACTGCAAAACTCTCAGAAATAAGTTTGACTCTCGAGCTGACCCTGAGATTTAGGCATTATTTTAAAAATAAGAACAACGAAGCCCAAAGAGATGATTTGCTCAAGGGCACTGTGGCAGGGCCCTGACTCCAACTTAGAAACCAGTTTACTATTTCGACTACACAGCCTATTTCCTGAGCACTCCACATACCCCGTAACTAGCCCCTTGCCAAGTACACGAAGCTTTCAATAATTGTGCCTCCTAACCTTTGAGTCTCCCAAGTGTCTCTGCCTTTCTTTTATTGTAGAGGCACTGCTTTACTGAATGAATGAACTGGCTTGCCAACCATAACTTTGTGTTAGAATATTCTGGCTCGCTCAAGCTTGCCCCAATGCTTGGAAATATGGGTGGATTTCTCAAAGGTCCTCCCACATCTGAATCAACAGTTAGTACCTCTTCTTTCTACCAAAAGCTTGAACATTTCTCAGCACTTTATAAAGTAAGTTTCGGACATTAGAATATTCATTCCAAAAACATTTATTCAGCACTTGTTATATGCACTGGAGAGAAATAAGAAAAGTAGAATTAAGAGGACTTGACATCTTATTGACTGTTCTCTTTCATGTATCCCCTACATGTCAAAGGAACCTAAAACTTGGAGTCTATGTTATTGAAGGATGTTGGTTCAATCATATACATAAAGAAGGTTTTGTGAAGAAAAGGGATACTGTTTTCAACATTGGGAGTTTTTGAGGTTCTACCTATGGAGACCTTCCTCCTACCAGGATTGGTAGTTGAGAGACAGATTGCATCATCAGTAAAGAAAGATGATACTTGAATATTTACAAGTAAATTATGAAGCTTAATAATTTTACACACTAAATTTGATTTTATTCCATCCAGTTCTTCTAAGGTTTTTATTGTATGGGATGCTTTGTGGCAGATTGGCTTTGTAAATTCCTCAAAAATCAAGGCACTTGAGAATAGATTATCCTCATATATAGTATAACATTGAATTTAAACATTTATGGATCTAAGCAATATGCCCTTTTCTCTGCAAAAGACTACACTAATTAAGGTAATCATTAATCTTGGTTTGCCCAGGACAATCCTGGTTCACCATGTTGTTCTGGCATAACCATTAATAGCACCCCCTTTCACTCAAAGGTATTCCAGATTAGGTAATAAGTCATATAATTACCCTGCCCATAGTAAAACCTGACTACCTTTACCTATAGGTTTATTTATAGCTT